AGCCTAAGGGTATTCAGAGAAAAGAAAGATCACTGTGGTATGGAAAGAAGATGAATTTGAGTTAGTTCTTGAAAAATGGTAGGAAATAATTGCACTCAACTTTAATTTTCCGTATAGTCTTTTCTGGTATAAAATGTTTTATGATAGGAGCTTTGGAATTCTATGAGGACTTTTTCCTACCTTTCATTTCATGAAGGAACTTAGTAGGGTAAGCAGGAATGTTGAAAATGAGTAACCTTTTGGGATTTATTTCTCCAAGTATAAAGTAAGAATGATAATTCCAATCAGTTTTTTTCATTTGTCACTTTGTAAGATATTTTGATATAGAGAAGTTTGCTTATGAGAGTGCCCCAAGTCTTTGGTTTGATTGTATGCAACATTTCATGTCTCTTGTCTCCTGGTCTGTATAGAATTGCTTTTAAATTACTCAGAGCAGGGCGCCTGGGTGGCTCAGCCAGTTAAGCGTCTGCCTTCAGCTCAGGTCATGATCCTAGGGTTCTGGGATTGAGTCCCATGTCAGGCTCCTTGCTCAGCAGGGAGTCTGCTTCTTCCTCCCTCTGCCCCTCCCGCAGTTTGTGCTCTTTCTCTCTTGCTCTCTCTCAACTGAATAAAAATAGTCTTTTTTTTTGTAAAGATTTTATTTATTTATTTCAGAGAGAGAGAGAATGAGAGACAGAAAGCACGAGAGGGAAGAGGGTCAGAGGGAGAAGCAGACTTCCCACTGAGCAGGAAGCCCGATGTGGGACTCGATCCCGGGACTCCAGGATCATGACCTGAGCCGAAGGCAGTCGCTTAACCAACTGAGCCACCCACGCACCCTAAAAATAGTCTTTAAAAAAAAATTACTCAGCACTTAAACCCACACAGAATGCTTTTTTTCCTGAATTCATATAGCATGTGTAATCTGAACTACATTGACTAATACTGAGTATAATGTTATTGTTCATATATAGTTTTCCCTATGTATGAGTTCGATAGGGGTAAGTGATAGTATAACCATTTTATACACTTGAAAATTAGGGCCCAAGTTCAGAGTGCTGAGCCCAGATTATAACAAATTGGGGCACCTGGCTGGCTCAGTCAGTGGAGCATGCAACTTTTGATCTTGGGGTTGTGAGTTCAATCCTCACCTTGGTTGCAGAGCCTACTTTAAAAAAATAAAAATAACCAAGGTCTATTGGGTTCTAGTACAGTTGGCCTTTCACAGTATTGTATACTGATGTTCATTTTGTTTTCTGTTTGCTTCATCTATGTGGATCTTGTAAGTTCTTTGTCAAGGATAAGAAATTCCCTAGTGCTATGCAGGCTGTTCCCTCAGAGAGCCGTTAGCATCTATAACATCTCCCTTTACTACTCATTGGACACACAATAAATGTTTAAAAAACACTTTTGGTCTTGTATAAAGTTCTTTTCAAATTTGAACAGTTTACTGCCTAGAATTTTAGCATTTCTTCTAAATGTGACATTAATTCTTTGTAAATAAGCTTTTTTCTTTCCAAAATAAAAACAGCTTTTTTGGAGGGCACCTGGGTGGCTCAGTCAGTTAAGCGTCTGCCTTCAGCTCAGGTTGTGATCTCAGGGTCCTGGGATTGAGCCCCGAGTTGGGCCCTCCGCTCAGCAGGGAGTCTGCTTCTCCCTCTCACTCTCCCTCTTTGCTTCCCCCCAATAAATAAATAAATAAAATATTTTAAAAACCAAAAATCCCAGCTTTTTTTTCTCATTATGGAAATAATGCAAACTTATTAAGTAAGGTGTTCTTATAAAAATGATACAAGTTTAGTATAGGCATTTTAGGAAATGCTAATAAGCAAAAAGAAATAAAAATTGCCCAGTGGCATCTAATACTCTTCTGGTCTTTTTTTCTTTGCATAGATAACATATGCATAAGTGAATTTTTTCCTTTTTTTTTTTAAGATTTTATTTATTTTGGGGGCACCTGGGTTACTCATTCGGTTAAGCATCTGCCTGCAGCTCAGGTCATGATCCCAGGGTCCTGGGATCGAGCCCTGTGTTAGGTTCCCTGCTCTGCGGGGGTGGGGGGGATCTGATTCTCCCTCTCCCTCTGCCCTCCCCCCCCCACTCGTGCTCTCCCTCTGTCAAATAAATAAAATCTTTAAAAAAAAAAAGATTTTCTGACAGAGCAAACAGTGGCGGGGCAGGGGGCAGAGGGAGAAGCAGACTCTGCTCAACAGGGAGCCTGACGCAGGACTCAGTCCCAGGACCCTGGGATCATGACCTGAGCCAAAGGCAGACGCTTAACCGACTGAGCCACGTAGACGCCCTGAATTTTTTTCTTTTATGACCAAGTTTGCAAACTAACAGTCTTTAAATCTGTAGCCTATAACAAATAAAAGTGTGTTTGTTCAGGAGTTTCAAGGCAGTTTGATAATATCTGCAGGTACAATTTGTGTGGTTTTTTTCCAAGTCTAAGAAGCTGTATTGTGGTTCTACAACTCTCGAACATTTGTAGAATATTTGTGTTCTTTAGCATTTTGTTCTTTAAATCCTATTAAGGGATTTTGACATTTCAGAATCTTTCAGACAGGAAACATGTCTCCCAGGGAAGATTATTCAGCAGTATTTGAGAAATGAAAAGTGAAAGTGAGAGTGAGATAGGGAGATTTAGGCTTTTTCTGAAGCTACAGACTGAATATGGAGTTTTCTTCCTTAGGCACTAATTGCTATCTGAATATTTATTTATCTGTGTAATCTGAATGAGTGAGTCTGGTTCAACTAGATAAGATTAGACTATTGGGATTTTTGAGGTATTTTTAAATAGTGTTAAAATATTCGTTAGAATTTTTGCTCTGGCAATCATTTTAATTTTCTCTTTGCTTTGGAAATGGTGTTGATTTACTTTTTGAGGTGATTTATAGTCTCAATTATTTTTTTTTTGTTCTTTCTCGAGATGACTCCTTAATTTTCATTGTAGCATTGGTCCTTCATATATGCTTTTGTGTATGTATAAATAAAATAACTAACATTTGTATTTATAGAGACATTTCAAGGCTTTGAAAATCATGAACCTAAAGATAATGGCCATTGGCTTGATTCCTTCAGTTTCTTTGAAGGTTCAGTTTTTCATTTCTGGTGCTTTCAAATGTATTTAACTGTGTTTTCAATTGTCAGCACTCAAATATATTCTCCAACTGAGATTGACCTTAATAAAATACACCAATGGGTTTAACATGGAGAGTGAAAGAGAATAATTAATATAGTTGCCCATTAAAGTCTTCTAAAAACAGTAATTGGTAAAAGTATTCAATATAGTGATTGTTAAACCTGTTTATGACTATCTATATAAGAGCAGTAAATTTCTGATGTAATTTTTAACACTTTTTTTCTTTGAGCAGATCATGACAAGATGTTTAAGATGAGTGAAAAAATCTTACTCCTATGTGTTGGAGAGGCTGGAGACACTGTGCAGTTTGCAGAATATATTCAGAAAAATGTGCAACTTTATAAGATGAGAAATGGTTGGTAATACTTGGAATGTAACTGTGGTTGATTTGTATTTAAATTTGAACTAAAAAAGAATCTACTGGCAATTCTACACATGAGCAGACCAGTGTGGTCATATTTTTATTTGAATCTTCCTACTTTTAAAACTTTATCTAGACCCTCCTGATCCTAAAGATCTTCTGCAAAAATCCCAGAGCCGAAAAGAGAACCGTTGTAACACTGATACTTGAGGGCCACCTTGGAGACGAACATGGTAGTATCAGACTTTTTTTTAAGTGTTAGGTATTTCAGAGGATGTTATTTGAGCTAAAGTATATCTGAACCTCAGAGCTAAAAGACCTCAGTTAAACTTGGTTTTACTATTTTTTTAATGTGACAAGTCACTTAGCCTCTTTGGTCTTTATTTTCCTCACTTCTAAAATGGGATAATAATATTAATGAATAATATGTAAAATGTTTATAAGCTTAATGCTCTGTGTCACTGTGGGAGATTTACTGTCATAGAAGAGTTCTGCCTTGCCTTACTGGTAGATTCTTGTCAAGGAAGATAATTAGGATTTTTGTGAGTTCCCTCTGGGGCTAATGCACTCTAATCCTCATTAGAGGATTCCTCACTAGGATTTCCTCATTAGAGGAAGCCTCACTATCAGATAATACTAGCCACTAGCTTTATGACCCAGGAAAGTTTATAGTGACACCCTAGCAGAAAGGACCTTACTTCAGTTATTTACTTCACAGTTTAATACACTTATACACAGCACTGATATAATGTGGAACTGTGAAAGAACTTAAATTGAATATAATTGTATAAAATGGCTAGATATGGCCCATTTATATAGATTTTCTTTTTTACTTTGAAAACTGTGCATCTCAAAGCAACCTTTATTTGTTCAATTATTTTTAACAACAGCGTTTTACGACCAATACACTGATTTTTTCAAGAAGGAAAGTCATTTTAAAAACATTTTTATTTTAAGAATAGGCCTGTGTTCAGCTGTAGATTTTTCCCCCCCAAGCTCTGATCAGGTTTATTTTGATTTGGGAAAAAAAATACCATTTTGATGGCATGAAAAGCAAAATTTAAGTCTTTTTTTTAAACATCTCAGTACAGAATTTTAAAAACTATTAATGGAAAATAGATTAAGGACATTAATTCACAACAGTAATTACCACTGGCCAGTTCCTGGTATTCGGCTTCTCCCCTAGTTCTCCAGAGGAAAACTTAAGTTGAATCTTCGGCAGAATGATCTTTAAATATACTTTATAAGCAAAATGAGAGCTTTTGTTTACATAGTTTTTATTTTTTTATTTTTTTTTTAAAGATTTTATTTATTTGCGAGAGAGAGAATGAGAGATAGAGAGCACAAGAGGGAAGAGGGTCAGAGGGAGAAGCCGACTCCCTGCTGAGCAGGGAGCCCGATGTGGGACTCGATCCGGGGACTCCAGGATCATGACCTGAGCCGAAGGCAGTCGCTTAACCAACTGAGCCACCCAGGTGCCCCGAGTTTACATAGTTTTTAGATTTTGCTGTTCCTAATTTTATTCTGAAACTCAGGTTTTACCCCAAACCATAATTACCGCATGAACTTTGTAATGCACAGTTTTGTATGCAATTCAGCAAGCAGTAGTACACCATCGGGCCTGTCTACCCAGAGCTTAGGAGAAACAGGGCCGGTCACACCCATTTAAAAACAAATCTCACACTATTTGCCAATGTGTAGTTTCCGTATAAGTTCGGACAATGAAATATATGGATATATATCTATATATCTCATCTTAATTTTCAAAGGTAGGCAAAGGGAGTTCTTCACAGCTTAGCTTTGCCTGGCTGAAGCTGAAGATTTTGTAACTTCATAGCCAGACCCATGTTGCCAGTAATTTTCAATTTGCCTTGAAAGAAGGCCGACTGAGGATTCATTTTACCAGTCATTAACGCCAGTAAGTCCGAGTCAGCCATTGTGATTGTGCAGTCAGCCTTCTTATCTGAGTTAGGAAGCACTGATCCTTTGCCATTCTTCACATCCACCACCCGGGTGGCTTCTTTACCCTCAGGGCCGTCCTTCACCTTGAAGGCAAAAATACCACCAATTTTCTTCACAAATTGTTCCCCTTCCTCTTCAAGCTTCTTCTCAATTTCCTTAAAGACAACATTTGCTTTAAATCCATCAACTGCAGAGCTGGTTGGAACAGCCTCAATGTGATGAGTTCTAAAAGAACTGGCAGCTTCAGGAAAACCCATCTTGTAGATCGTCACAACCACAGCTCCTCCAATGCCTAAATTATGCTCCCCATTTATATAGATTTTAGGCAGCAAATTTAGCATCATGCATTCAGTTCCACGAATACTTTTTTTTTTAAGATTTTTATTTATTTATTTGACAGAGAGAGATACAGTGAGGGAGGGAACACAAGCAGGGGGAGTGGGAGAGGGAGAAGCAGGCTCCCCGCTGAGCAAGGAGCCCAACTCCGGGCTCCCTGGGATCATGACCTGAGCTGAAGGCAGACGCTTAACGACTGAGCCACCCAGGTGCCCCAGTTCCATGAATACTTTTGAGGGCCTCCTCTATCTTAAGCACTCTGGCTAGTACCACAGAGAATTCAAAGATGAAAAAAGAACGTAAAGCACGTGGCACTCAGGTTTAAGCAAGTTGAGAATATTTCAAAAATTATTTTTTAGTGGTTCTCTATTTTGCGCCTACATGGCAGGTGAGGGATGCTAATAATGTTTCTCAAGTACAGTAACTACAGCAATATTTCACTGTCCTGTTCTGGGAGAGGGAGGGAGAGTAAATGAGTTGAGAAGGTTGCTTGTTGTGTGGGTATTAGGGTTTAAAGTCAGTGCACAAAAAAAAATCATGTATGATTAAAATGGCCTTTAAAATCTTTTAAATTACCTGTCAAGTGTAGTTTTGTGTATGTAACTCTACACAGTAATTCTTATGCATATTAAAGGTCAAGAACTGAGCTAAAATAAGGGAAAGGAGAAAAATCTAAATGTAAATAGGCATTAGGCCTTTCTGCCTTTAAGATAACTGTCAAATCCTTAGTGGTGTTTAGGGGATTAGGTGAAGAATTGAAAAGTATTCCTGCTTGTTTACAGTTGCTTGCATTATAATTTAATATGCACTAATAGATTGGTTGTGAGGATGAAGTTCAATAACCTGTGAAAGCACCTGGCACAGACTCTGAAACATAGCTGCTGTTCAATAAATATTTGTTAGAATTTTAATCTAAATCTTACCTGCTGTAATACTGGTTTTTGATAATAACTTAACCATTTGCTGTCTCTCTTTCCAAAGTTACATTTTCTGCATGGGTCTGCTCAGTTGCAGGTCATTCGTGGCTTTTGGGGGTGGGGGAGGGGGTTTCCAGAGTGAGTGCATTATTAAACACACACCTGATGACATTCCTCTGGGCTGTAGTTTTGTTGGCATTACAACCTTTCTTGAGATACTGTATTTTTAAAATGTTGTAGATAGTGATGGAAACATTTTTTTTCTGTTGCTTGTACTTTTGAAAATCATATTTAATAAAGTTGTTTATTTTTTAAAAGAAAACCTTGTAAAGTGTGACCCTGAGGCCATCCTAACTTCTAGCCTCTCTTTTCCCAATTTTTTTTTTAAATAAGCTTTAAAAATCAGTATCTCGAGACCTCTTTCTTTTTTCCCCAATACCTATGTATTTGTACCCCCTTCTTTCTATAGAGGAAACCACAGTTTGCTGATGAATGAACAGCTTAAGCAAGGCTTGGTTCTGTGTTGTGGCCAGGAATTACTGTCGGTGCTGACCAGCTATTTCACAACTGTTGAATGGGGAAAGGGACAAGGAATACAACTGTACTCCTCATTCTGTGTACTTTATGTACTCTGGGCGTACAGAGAGTGGAAGGATGTAAAAACAGGGGTAGTGGAATGATTTGGGGTGCTGTTATTCCTTTTGCTTCACTTTAAGTATGACTGTTTATCTCTTGTTCCAGGTTATGAATTGTCTCCCACAGCAGCAGCTAATTTCACACGCCGAAACCTGGCTGATTGTCTTCGGAGTCGGGTAAGCAATATAGCAAGCAGCCTTACATGAGAGTAGAAATATCTTCTGTGCTGCTTCTATATTATTATACATGGGTAGCATTTTTGCCCTTTTTTGGACTTCCTAAGCCCTTCTCCTTGGTACTTATTCATTCTTCAGTCTCTTTGGACTTGTTTTCTTTTTCTGCAGAGTTGCTAATTAAAGCCTGAAGGGCAGCTATACACTCCCAGAGAATTTGGATGGGGCACACCAATAGGAAGGCCTATGAAGGCCTTTAAAAATTTTTCAAAGTGTTTTCATAGCAAACCATGTTCCTTAATTCCTATGGCTGAAGGTTCTTACGTGGTAGTGGAGGCGAAACTTTGAAAATTTCATCTTTTTTTTTTCTTTAAGATTTTATTTATTTATTTGAGAGAGAGAGTGTGAGAGAGAGATCACACGCAGGTGAGTAGAGGGAGAACCAGACTCCCCGCTGATCAGGGAGCTCAATGCAGGACTTGATCCCACGACCCCCGGATCATGCCCTGAGCCATAGGCAGACGCCTAACCAACTGAGCCACCCAGGCGCTGCAGATTTCATCTTAAGATTATGTGTCTTTCTATGATTATTCTTGCTAAAGCACAGAGATTTATTCATCTTCGCTTACTTAGGCCTTGTTCTATCTTAGAGCTGTTTTTGTTCCACTGACAGCATGTTGAAAGATGGCAACATTAAGTTAAGGATTGAATGTATTAAAGATTGTGTAGGATGTGCCAAGAAAGTTCGTATGATTGCTAAAGGTGTGTATTATTCCCTTCCCACAGGGACTAAGTAAATGGAGACTTATCGTGTGACCTTACCCCCTGTGCCTGTTTACTCATCTATGAAATCGAGATAACTTCCTAACCCCACAGGAGTGCTAGGAAAATGAATGCTTGTAAATCCTAATATTTAACATTCATACGACTTTTGCCCAAAGCATTTTGCTTAATAATTTAATCTACTCACTGTTCCACTGAGATATATAGTAGTTAATTCTCTCTCACTGATACAGAATGAATGGCATAAAGTGGCAAAGGGACTAGCTCCAGGTCACACAGCAGGTCAGACAAAGCTACACTGATGGTGCCGTAATTACTTGACTGTTGAACCTCCCATCAGCTCCTCGGTTTTTCAGTAGTGTTTCTAGAACATCGGTGCTATTCATATTTTTATTATGGTTTTAGTTTCATCTGCAGTTGCTTAAGCTGAATTATGACAGAAATCTGAACAAGTACAGGTGTTGTGTTTTTTTTTAACGCTACCTCAGAATGTCTCAATAAATAGAACCTCTTTTTTTCAGTGCTACCTTTAGCCCAGGGCCTTATGCGATGTAAGGATCATGAGGTTTGAAGAGAAGCTAGAGATACTTTGGTAGGAAGGAGGAGAAAGATTTACGTACCTTGTTTTGATCTGGGTAAAAGGTCAGTGGCCTTTTCTTGTTCACTGCTCTGTGAGAGAGAAAATGGGTCAGATATGACCCTTCCTGCCACTCAGAAATTCCTGTGGTATTTGGTAAAGAGTATGCTGTGGCTTGCTGTGTAAAATATTCCTTTGACTTGTCAGGCAGAACTGGAATAAGAATTCCAGCTTTGGGGGGTGCCTGGGTGGCTCAGTCGTTGAGCATCTGCCTTCGGCTCAGGTCATGATCCCAGGGTCTTGGGATCGAGCCCTGCATCGGGCTCTCCCTGCTAAGCAGGAAGCCTGCTTCTCCCTCTCCCACTCCCCCTGCTTGTGTTCCCTCTCTCGCTGTATCTCTCTCTGTCAAATAAATAAATAAAATCTTGAAAAAAAAATTCTAGCTTTGGGCACAATAAAGACTTCGTCATAAATACAGCGGACATTAAATGAATTAAGCTGCTTTTAGAATTGAGATAAGAGTGGCAGTGTGCTTCATGTAAATGCAGTGGATCTGGTTAATCTCCTAGCAGAAATGTTTGATGTCTTAAATAAATATCCCTTGTAGACAGTGACATAGGGGCTTTAGTAAATATTGACTACATCTGCCTATGGTTCTGAGCCCAACCTCTGCTCCCCCAGCCTTCTATCAACTTAGATTGTTAGCTCTAAAATATGAGTTTATATTTTAGTCATTTTATTCTGGGGAGAAAGGTGTTGGTATTTTTTCAGTCTTTCTAATAAATGTGAAGTCACTAGATTTGGTACATTTATACAGTCACACCAGTTGGCACATGAGACTTATTTCAGGTCAGCCAGTTACCATGTATAACTTTGTGTCTGTAGCTCAAATTGTCTGATTTCTAATTTGGGGTGTGTGTGTGTGTGTGTGTGTGTGTGTGTGTGTGTGTGTGTGTTTGGGGGTGGTATTTGGTTGGGAGGACATTTATTTATTGCAGAATATATAATGAATTTTTTGTAAACTGGTTCTTTTAAGATGCAAGCATGTTTAGCATTGTGGTTAAGCACTGTCTCTGGAATTAGACTGCCTGAGGTTTTGTTTTGTTTTGTTTTTTAAAGAATTTTATTTATTTATTTGAGAAAGAGAGAAAGAGCAGGGGGATGGCCAGTGGGGAGAGGGAGAGGGACAAGCACATTCCGGGTGAGCATGGAGTGGATGCGGGGCTCAATCTCATGACCCCCCTCCCCGAGATCATGACTTGAGCCGAAGTCAGGAGTCAGAGTCAGAGTTGGATGCTTAACCAAGAGTAGGATGCTTAACCAACTGAGCCACTCAGGCACCCCCTAGACTGCTTGAGTTTAAATCTTTGCTCACTGACTTACTGGCTCTTTGTCTTTGGACAGATTCTAAGCTTAATTTCTCTACTTGGAAGATAATAGCACTTACTTTACAAAGTTATTATAAATTAAATGAAGCAATCATGCAAAGCTGTTAGTACAGTGTGTGGCACATACGACTAATAAATCACTTGTTTCTGTGCTGCCATTGCTGCTTGATTGAAGAAGCAACTTAATAGCTATAAGTTAGTTTGTTTTTGTTTTTTTAAAGATTTTATTTATTTATTTGAGAGAGAGAGAGCACAAGTGGGGTAGAGATAGAAGCAGGCTCCCCGCCGAGCAAGGAGCCTGATGCGGGGCTCGATCCCAGGACCCCGGGATCATGACCTGAGCTGGAGGCAGCCACTCAACTGACCGAGCCACCCAGGTGCCCCTATAAGTTAGTTTTTTTATGGGAGATTCTTTATTGTGCTATTTTAGTTGAACTTACTTGCTGGTTTAGAGGATATAAGAAAGTATTGCTGTGGATAAGGAAGATG